CGATCCGACTTCTCTGCCAGACTGTAGCGACCTTGATTCTCTCACATGAGTTAGTTCGCGTTGCTTAAAATCCAAAAAAAAAAAAAAAAAACATTTTGCACTTAAAACGAGATAAATATACAGCGTGTCCAAAAACTGACGATCGTTACGTTGTAATATTTTAAGACGAAAATGAGGGCGTTGAAGAGAGAGAGAGAGAGAGAGAGAGAGAGAGAGAGAGAGAAAGTGAAGATTCTAAAGTGCAAACAACGCAAATAATATACTTTGTGACGTATGAGATGCAATTATTTGGAATCAAAACGGAAAATCCGTGGTTTGTTGTGATAACCTGTGTCGGTAATTAATAGCTCTTAACATCGGTATCGTTACGCATACATTACACGTATATATTAAAAAAAATTGCGCAACGACAATCAAACATTCTGAATTATTTATCCATAAAAAAGGTTACATTTGATGTAAATGAAAAGTGTTCCATATTAATTAATCCGTACAATTAAAAAAATATCCTAAAAATACACAAATTTAAATGTTAATTTAATTAACAATTTCAATCTTATAATTGCTAAAAAAGATATTTGATTTTAAAAGGCAATTTAACTTCTCCGGAAATATTCGCCTAGAGACGAACGTTGCACCAGTTGATTCGCAGGCACAAAGTTACGAGACGTATATTTACACTTTTGTTCCCAAGAGTAAGGACCGATGACCTCGACGGGATTCCAATTCAGAAAAGTCGTTCCGGGATCCAATGAATGAAAACGGTCCGTCTGTTTATCTCGGCTATCGTACCAAGGGATGGCGCCAGCCAGTATTTCGCCCCATTCAGAAGGGATGCGGAGAAGGGTGCTCCGGACCGACGCGACGTCGCAGCGGAGGAGAGGAATGGACACGAGCAACCTGTTGCTTTCACCGTACGTCAGGATATATCCACGTGCCTCTCCTCCAACTCCGCTGCGACGCGGGACAGCACCCAGCACCCACACGCAACATGTTGCAATCTCCGAACCTACGACTGCAGTAAAATATTTGCGAGCAACGAATTATCGCGAGCATTCACATTCGAGAGTCGAGCCGCGTCGCGTACGTAGGAGGACAATTTATTGTCGTGCAAGCGCCGAAACCGAGAGCTTCATGCTTGCGGGAAGGCGAGAGGTAATTGAGTATGCCGGTAGTCGCGTTCTTGCTCGGCGTTGACAATTTTTATAAGAGACAATAGAATAGTTGAATGTGAATAGCATGATGAAAATGTGATGACAGTAATACAATAGATATAATAAGAATATAAGAGACGTAATGAAAGAGAGAAGAGAATATAAATCTCACATGATTATACGATAAATCATACGATAATGTACACATTAATAGCAATGAATCATAAAATTCTTGAATAAACAATACTTTTATGAATTAGAATATTCCAAATATACTCGTGAAACGAGTCATCGAAGCTATTTTCTAATGTAAGAATATTAAATCATAGTACCTATAAATAAAAACAAATATTTTTATATGTAAATTTTTTATAAATCTTATTTAGAATCTCTATCGTTCAGTTCTGAAGAATTATGAAACGCATTCGTGGAGTTAAGTACATTTCCAGAATCAATTACGAGAATCTTGGAAATTAAGCTCAGCAACAAGCGTCTTCTTCGCTCGTGGAACTCTATGCTCGAGATTCTCGAGAAACGAGACCGACGCATTTCGATCGATCGTCGGCCGAAGGCAGCATGACGACGGACGTCCAAAGCGAACAGCACAGAGAAAAAGAGCGAGAGCGAGAGCGAGAGAGAGAGAGAGAAAGAGAAAGAAACAGAGAGCCTAGCGCCAAAATAAATCAATAAAATAGCGGACCAAGTCAGGCACGTAGGCGCATACATGTACGTGCATACAACATATGCATGTACGATCTATACGTATTGGAGAAGCGAGGCGAGGAGAGCCACGGCGCGACGGTTGAGGAGAGAGAGAGAGAGAGAGAGAGAAAGCGAGAGAGAGGCCGAAGCAGGCGAACGAGCGAGGTCGAGACACGCGGCAGCTGTCTGGCGCCAGGGGTCCCCCTGTTCCCTCAAACAGTCGCGCCGAATGCCACCCACCTTAGCCGACCGACCTATCGTGCCATTCTCAAACCTGCCTGCATCCCGGGAGCCGGCTTTTCCCTTCTCTTTCCTACCTACTCGCGTTCCTGCACGGCCTTCTTCTTTCCCTCGTCCTGCGGCAGATGCAACAGCCTGCGTCCGACGACGTACGGCACCGTTTGATGGATCGACGATGGATCCATCGCCCGTATTCCGCGAAGTTGAAATTTTTAACCAACGGGTTATTATTAATTGCTGATAAACAAATTATTAAAACATTATCGAATTGCGTCTATAATAATAATAATAATAGTGAAAAATATCTTCATTTTTTTTTTATAAGGTATAAATGTCCCGGTTGACTGAATATATACTTTTTATTCTTTACACAAAATTTATTATTATTAATTTTTCAAATGCTTTTTTATTACAATATATATTATAATTTAATTGTATTTATAGATTGTAATTAAATTATAATACATTTGAGATTAATAATAAGGCTTGTAAAAAGTGTTATAAATGTCTGGAATCATCTCAAACACGGGACGTTTACCTTATGTAACTTCTAAATTACAATTAATCGTGATTTATCGCTGAATTTATATGAAAAGAAATAAATGAAACATCCCGAGTTGAAAAAGCCTTCTGAAAAGATTCGATGGTCGCGGCGTGGTCAGTTGGAAAACGCTCGATCGAATCCTGATATTTCTGTTCTCTCCCGGAAGCAGCGCCTTCTATCTATAACTGACTCAAATAAAAAGGCAACCACGCGCGTGTTTATGATTCCATGTCATCCCTTTCGGTGCTCCACACTTCGCGTATTATATTGCAGCGCTCAACATCCCGCGAATATACGCGACATTTGCTAAGCCGATGAAAGTGCAATCCCATCAGGATGATTCTCGTTTCCGATAAATGGCCTGCTATAACGACAGGCCGAACGTGCATTTTTTTTAAATTTTTTGTAAAATTTCAGAAATTTCAAATTCGCCTGAGAAATACTAGCATGTTTTTTTTATTCAATGAATATATAATTTTAATTAGAATTTCAATTTTTTATTTTTGCCTCATGTAAAAAATTAAGGAGCTATAAATAAATATCAGAAATTAAAAAAAGATTTAAAAGAGAGAAAAAGTAAAATAACTTGACAATTATTTAGTAATTTAAGAATTTTTAATATGCATCTGAAATGTAATTTAAAGGAATTTAAAAAATCCAAAAGATTTAAAAGTTTACATTCTTATAATAACATAAACGTTCTCTTAATCTGGAATTGCTGGAGTAAATTGTGTTCTACACGATTACTCTGATTAAATGCGTGAACATACGCATCGTTTCTTACTTACTCTTATAAAATCGCAAGATGCGCCAGACACAGACGCAATTTGTTGTCGACTTGGGAATGTTTGACGTTAGAGCAGCAGCGTTTGCATTGGCGAAGGTAATAAAAGTACGTAAAAAGACTTCGACAACACGAGAGAAAAACTCGTCGCAACGTGTTGTCGTTGCGAATATTATAATTAATTCGTTTTTCTTCACCGGTATGGGAATTTGCGATCAATCAAGAGAATAAACAAAGTCGTCATTCGCTTATATAAAGACTTAATCTTCCTACACAGATCAAATTACATCTCATAGAACGTAATCCAAAAAAAATCTGCCTATAATTGAAATATTCTTTTAAAATAAATTCAATAATAAATAAATAAATAAATAAATAAATAAATACGTATAGACGTTAATCATTACAACCAGTTTTTTATGTGTATTTTTTTTTATCTTTTATTCTTGCAAATTATTTCCTTATCGCTAATACCCACTTTTATCTACATCTCGAAAAAAAATTTGTATACTCAGTCCGATGGCGCAACAACACAGAAAATTATTTCGAACGACGTTGCGGAGAAACGAGAGTAATCGTCGTACGAGTCGACGACGAGAGAGCAGAGCGCGTTCACTTTCCTGCTTCTGGCTGGGGCCAAAAGCGTTTCAGGCGTTCCACGAAGCAGCAACACGAGAGAGGCCCGAGAGCGGTCCGAAAAACGACGAGTCCGCGATCCGTGCGGTGCGTCATGCGTGAAAAGCTACGTGCGCGTCAGCCCGGAGGAACGTGCGTGCTGAGGAAATTTCTTCGATCGACGCCGATCGACATTGTAAAACATTGTCTTGTTCTTTCGAGAAAATCTTGGGGAGCGATAAGTCATTATACTTTTTATACAGGCATGTTGTAAATCAAATGTGAGAACTTTGATTTTTATACGTACTCTCTAAAAACTTTCAGAGTGAATCTCACTCCGAAGAGTGAAATCTCTTAAAGAATAAAAATTGAACCATCCTTTTTAAAGATTGGCTCAATTTTCTCTTCAGACTGAAATTCCATTCTAGAGAATATAGAATGCGAATGATTCTTTTATAGAAAATATAATATGGAAAAAGAGAGAAGTTAATTTATTCATATCCTTAGTGCATGTAAAAAACTGTCTGTGTTAGAAAATGTAAAATTAAATTGAATCGCGATTATCTCTTGCAATCTGTCGTAATTCGAAGGAGAATGAAGCTCGCTTAAAATTAAACCCGCTCTTATTTCTTTCAGATAGGGAAGAAATGCATGAGAAAAGAAAACTGATCGTGGCGCTGATCAAGGTTAACCACGTGAAGTGTAGTCATCGATCAGTGGCGTAGTCGGAGGTATCTCGGGAATCGATCAATGAGTTTGGATGATTATTCAAAGATAAAAAGAGAAAAAAAAATTGGATATGGCACGACGAGAAACTGATCATCTTACTTTCTCGAAATTTCATGTCGAAATTTCAACAATCCATTATCGTTAGAATGACTCAACGGGGAACATCCCATACATCTCTCATCGTGGGGTCGGTGAACATATGGGGTACATATAACCTTGAAGACATAGTTACCTTCTCCGTTGGTGGTAAGCGAGCCGGGAAGTGGCAGGGGCGTGCTGTTTCTGCACCGACGTTGATCCCCTTCACTGGGTGCACAATCTGAAAATAAACGGGCAACCCCTTGAGAAGCTGCTTTCCTCACCGAGACTATTTCTTCCTCTCTTAATTCCTTTCCCCCTTCTCACTCACTCATTCTTTTTTTTCGCTCTCGCACATGTTTCGCTTTATAGAATAAAGATAGAGAGAAACATAATCATCGTTGTACTATACTTGAGCAGAGGAAGGGAAAAAAAACAAATATTAAAAAATGTGTGTATCGCTGAGTCACTCAGCGACGCTAACACGATTTTACAACATAAAAGAAACAATTTTGTTCAAGTATTATTGAAAAATTTGTGACTCGATACAAATTTGAAAATAATTGTGTTAGATTATCAAAAGTACATAGAAATTTCAAGCATGATGAGCAAAAAATTTTGACATTTTAGCAACCAGTTTAAATTTATATTTTAATAATTCATTAAAATTATTTTGATATGTGTCTGTGTCTAAATAATATATATATAGAGCTAAAGCTTTAGATACTTCAACAAAATCGTCTTTCTGTGAACGTAAAAGCCGTCGTTATTGAACAGAGGCGTTCGTTATCGTGCGAGGATCGAACGACGAGAATTTTCTGAGCCGGGTGAAGAAGAATTTCACGACGCGTGCGTTGCATAAAAGGCTTATTGTCGGTAAACACCGGCAGTGAGGTTCCACGTAATTTCATATGAGACCATACGTCTGCGCCTCGTCCCGCGCGCGGTTAATCGACGTAATACCTAGTCTCGGATTTCTCCGCTTCAGCAGACGGAATAAACTCGATTCTCTCGGCGCAGGTGCGCGCGAGAGATGCGTTCGCCTCTTAAGTTGCATCGTGCCAAACGGTAAAACGATTCGTCATCGTGTCCTATGCAGCGCGGCGAATGCATGTGGGAGATGTAAATCCGATAGCAAAATAAATCTTCTTTCTTATTTACCGCCGAAGAGAGATAAACTGCAACCCTGTCACTCGATACAATCTTTAGCGGCTGAATGTTAAAGCCGACAGTGGCGATCAATGACGTTAACTGTTCGCAAGAATTCACGATCGATCGCAGAGCGAGAAATAATTAAGAGCAACAATTTCCGCGGGCCAGAAGAGACAGAAACAGCCAAGGTATAATCGCCAGACGCATGATTCATAAGCCTCACGGAAATCTCTCTCTCTCTCTCTCTCTCTCTCTCTCTCTCTCTCTCTCTCTCTCTCTCTCTCTCTGAGCTTCTTTCTCTTTCATGGCGGCACAAAGGAGGTGACAGAATCGTCCAAAATAATTATTCGCTCGAGACGTTAATTTATTTGCGTGCACTGTGACAAAAGTCTCGTATAACAGAATGACCGACTATAATTCGCGATGAAACAATGTTAATCTGTTTGCATAAGCAACCTACGTTCGATTTTAATGTCTTTTAAAACTCGTTCTTCTTACATCTCACAATGATTTATTAGTCTCCTAAAATCTATTTTATTTCGAATATCATTTTATTGAGCTTTTATAAAAATCTACTTTTCAACAAAATTATACTAATGATATATCTAATCTAATCATCGTATATTTTTGATTTAACGAAATTTAACAAGATAAAGACAATTGATAATTAAAAATAAAGTGTCTCAAGATAAAATATTGTTTTTAAAGTTACGAGTATTGCGAATAGTGTGGTTACAATATAAAAGACTTTAGACTCGACACAAATATGCTAATAGTTTTAGGGATAGACCATAGAAGGCCAGGTCCATTCACTAAAAGAGAAGATGACGTCAGACGGACAAGTTAGATGAGAGGTCGGTCGCATTCCTTTTGAATTCCAAAATCTCGTTCCTACAGGAGAAGTATTTCCTGCCACATCGCACCCTAAAACATTAGAGAAAGCGACGAGGGCAAAGACAAGGAATGGGACTTCAAGGATATCGTGAAGATAGAAGAAAGAGCCGTCTATTTTTAGGAACGCAATTATTTAAAAATCCGCTGGACTCGCCCCCATCGTTGCCGAGTCGCGTCGAGCAAATTTCGCAGGAGAATTCTCTCCTCCTTCTCTCTCTTTTCTATCTTCACCCAAATCCTTGTCCTGTTTCCCACGCGAGGGCTATTGTTACATAAATAGAAACCAAAACTCACTCGGCGTTTCCTAATGAAAATTAATATATTTTTCGCTCATCTCAACAAAAAATAATCTTAATAAAATACTTAATTATATAATGTACTTAATCCTCATCAAAATACATCAGCGAAGAATTATCTCATCCAACTGACGAAAGATGATTTCGCAAATTATTTTTAATTATGAACAATTAATTTTAACAAAAGAGATGATTCCAGACATAACAATCTCCATGAACTTGCTGAACGTAAATCAAAGGTAATCGAATGTTCATTGTTCACCGAGATAGATTTTCCAAGTTTTTACAATTTTTTTTAGACTCGCGGCAACAACGCCATGCAACGTGTGAACAAACAATCAGAACACAAGAGTGATTATCGACGCAAATATTTATCCGACCGATAAGGAACAAATTGACATACGCGAACCTGGTTTATTATACTCGCTGTCGTCGGTCGACGTCCAATATATAACGCCGGTGCGCGTCGGGTAAATACAAAGTATAATTTATTTACAAAGTAAGGCCGGGCGGGTGAGCTCGCTGCGCGATTTTGGCACGCGCGTCACTCTACAAAGGGAACGTAAATATAATTCCGCGAATTACGCGTGTCACCGTAAGCTGTTAAGTGCCGCGCGAATCTGTGAGATAGTGTCACCGCCGAGTTTGCAAAAATATATAGCCACGCGGAAGATTCGACCGTACCGGCGGCGCCACCGCGCCCGCTCGCTCGGCTTCCAAGGTGAACGGATTCGTGAATTACGAGCTTTGGCTTCGAAAGAGTGTCACAAAAGAGAAAAACAAAGAAAGAGAAAGATAGAAGAAACATCGGTGTATCTTTTCTTCTCCGTCGGTATGTTAAGTATCTACACACAGGTTGCGATTGGATTTGTGAATAGATTTGTGACCCTAAACGCTGTTACCCTCATTTTCGAGACTATAATAGCGAATTCGTTAGACACACCCGGTGTCCACACAGTGCGCCTTGGTGAACATTAATCTTTACAAGCCGGGAAAACTACTATGTGGCACTGAAAGAACAGTGTCATATTTTAAGACAAAAAATATAATGAATGATACATTGAAAAAAAAAATCTTAAAGAAATATCTCTTTGCTCGTATTCAAAAAAATTATTTCTTTGGATCAATGAAAATTTCTTTGAGAATACATTATCTTATTTCTTTGAAAGAAATACAATATCTTATTTTCAAAGAAATTTTTATTGATCCAAAGAAATAATTTTTTTGAATACGAGCAAAGAAATATTTCTTTGAAATTAAGATTTTTTTTTTTAGTATAAAAAATCTTGTATACTCAAAAGCTGTAAGGTTTTAAAAATAGACTCTCGCCCTCTAAATAGTAAGCTTCACAAGACGAAAAAACTACTTTAGTGAAACTGAAACAGTATATTAGAGAATATAATGAAATAATAAATTATAATAAATCGTATTCGGAAAAAGCTGTTAAAAGATTTTAAAAATAGACCCCCGTTTTCTTTCTTGATTCATCACATCTTGTGAATCTTCACAAGATGAGAAAGCCACTATAGTGGCGCTGATGTTATATTTCGAGATAAAGAATACAACGAAATAATGAATTATAACAAATCTTATTCAGGAAAAAGCTGTAAGATAAAAAATAATTTTTAAATTCCGTTTCTCTAAAAATTAAAGCCATCGTACAAATTGACATAAAAATGTGTTTGACATAAATATGTATAAAAATTACAGATTAAACCGCGAAATCTTCAATCCATACTTTATTGTGCTGTTAGGTACATGTATTTTATAAATATTTACATTTCATTTTTACACTCAGATTAAATCAATTTGCAATGATTTTAATATACACCAGTGCGCATTAATGCGTTCAACCGAACTCGCTATAAGACTCGGTCTTAAACTTTCACATAACTTCATCACTTTTCCTTTTCACGCAGGTGATGTCCAAAATTTCAAGTTTGCGCGATACCACGAATTTATCTCTTCACGCGACGTTGCAACGCGAATCGCCGAGCTGAATGTCGTGACATTGAGAGGCTGAATCGACGTCACGCATTATAATGCGTCGCGGCGCACTCGCGCGATCCGCCTTCGCCGAGATACTGAGCGGGTAAAAGCTGCATCGAATTAGGATCTTTGCCGGCGGATCTTCAAAAGCAGCATCTCGTCGGGCTCCTCCGATCCGGAAATCGGTGAGCTTGCCGCTCGGTCTTGCAAACGCTACCGGCGCGATCGGTACGGCGAAGAGGCACCGGAATGCGAGAGAGCCACTCCCGCTGATCGCCGGCGACTCGTGACGGTCAGACGAGCAGAGACGAGAGGAGAGCGAAAGCAGGATGGAGCGCGAAAAGGAAGATGAGAGAGAGAGAGAGAGAGAGAGAGAGAAAGATTTCATCATACCAAGTACGCCGGCTCCTAACCGCAATAACTGATAACAGATTCTCGACGAATCTATGATCGGCTCTTCGTAAGATTGACGATAAATCACGATTGCTCACGATAAATAATCTTCGACATTCTATATTTCAACGCGAGTCAAGTTTTATCATGAAAAGAGGGAGTTTGCTCGAAAGTGGAATATCAGGATATTACTATAGTGATCTTACATTCTTTATTACAGTTCTTTATTTCAGTAGTTGTCCTTTAGATTTATTAATTTTTTTCTCGAAATTCAATTTTGTCCTTTATTTTAATAATATTACGAAAAATTTCTTTCTAATTAATATTCCAATGTCTGAGGTACTAATGAGCGAATTTTTACTGAAACAATCGACAAATTTAGTTTTATGCAAGGACAATATTAGTCCAGCAGAACAACAAAGGCACAGTAACATAAAAATAAATTGCGATTGATTGAAAAGTGACTTTTACTAATCAAATTTACAATTATTTTGATGTCATTCTAATGTTATGATGA